TTGGGGAGCGTTAACAGGAGCACGCTGGTGGTCTACAGCCGGTACACTTCACCTTTGTGGTGTGAAGGTAATCTTGGGGAGGCTAACAGGAGCACGCTGGTGGTCTGTAGCCAGTACACGTCACCTTTGCGGTGTGAAGGTAATCTTGGGGAGCGCTAACAGGAGCATGCTGGTGGTCTGTAGCTGGTACACGTCACCTTTGTGGTGTGAAGGTAATCTTGGGGAGCGCTAACAGGAGCACGCTGGTGGTTTTTAGCCAGTATACTTCACCTTTGTGGTGTGACATTTACGATCACACAGGGTCTCAGGTGTAGAACTAAATGGGGCCTCACATACCATCTAGTCCAATCACCTCATTTTAAAACTGAGGAGACTGAAGGCCAAGGAGGTTTAAGTGATGTGCTCAAGGTCACACAGGAAGTGTGTGGCAGGGCTGGGATCCAAACCTCTTGACTCCAAAACCAGCGCTCTTCCACCACTAAGTCCTACATACATACAATGGTTGAGCTGGAATAAACCTCAGAAATCATCTAACCCAGCCTCTTCACTTGAGACTTGAAGAAACAGACTCAGAGAGGGGAATGGACTTACCGAAAGTCCTACAGCAAGTCAGAAGTAGAGCTTGAGCCTGGGAGCTAGGTCTCCAAATGACCAACCCACTACACTACGCGGCCTCTCTAGGGTGGATACTGTATAAAATCATTTTCTTTCCGCCTAAGTGTTTAAAATGCAATTTTAAATTAATACATAAAAATATAGTTATGTCACTTTTAAAGAGTAGCTTCTGGTTAAGAAAAGATGTTTGTATTCTTAGTTTAACATTTGTTATTATAGTTAGATAAACTGTAGAATCAATATGATTTATATTAAAAATACTAAAGCTATTACATTCATTGGCCCTGGGATTCATCAAAAGAAGTATGATATCTGCAGCTAGGGAATGAGAGTCCCAAAACTACATCTCCATATACACAATATTAGAACTAGAAGGAACTTCAGAAATCTAGCCCATTCTCCTCACGTGAGAGGTAAGGAAATCCACAGTCTAAAAAAAATTGTTCACTAGTCTTTTCTATGAAACATAGCATAGAAAGGATATATTTAATGGAATCAAAAACTCAAAGACCATGAGGACAATGGTTTATGTTTTGTTCTGCTTTTTAAAATAGTCTCTAACAATTTCCATTAGGCACCAATTTCACTGGGCCAATAAGAGAAAATGATGATGTCAATCAGAAACAAAATAAAATCAAAATTTTCAGTGGATTCTTATTTCCTACAATATAATTTCTAACTCACTCTACCTGCCTTTCAATGCCTCATGTGTGGCATGATTTTCAGTCCTTTTATCATCCTGATCATCCTTATTTGGATAGCAAGGAATAGTGGGTTCAGCTACAAAATCAGAGTTGGACCTGGCTTTGAAGCTGCCTCATGTACTTACTAGTTGCATGATCATGGAAAGTCACTTATTTTCGTACAGCCTCAGTTTCTTCATCTATAAAATGAAGTTAATAATAGCTGTACTACCTGCCTCACAGCCCTGTTGAAGGAACTTCTGAAACCTTAAAGTGCTATATGAGCCTCATCATTATGATGTTCTGGCTTGTCAATGTCCTCTCCAAAACGTACCACCCATTACTCCAGATGTGGTCTGACCAGGACACTGAGCATCTATTAATGTGGCCAAATGAGATACACCTGCACAGGCCTTGGTTTACGGCTTAGTCACAAGTACAGAAGGCCAAAGTGATCACTTCTGACCAAGGAGGCATCAGGAGCATTGCTGCATTCATTAGAATTACTCTTACAATAAGCCTTACAAGCGAGGAGTTCACCAGAAGCTAGGTTTCTATTGCTCATATCCCAAACAACTGCCACCAAATGAGTTCGATGATAAGGGGATATCCAACATGACAGAGTCCTATCACATACTCACACAGCAGTTTTAGGTCCTTTCCAACTCTGAAGGCTGTAGCCTATGACCATAGATTTAGAATGAGAAGAAACCTTAGAGATCACAGAATCACAGAACCATAGATTTCAAGATGAAAGGGACCCTTATCATAGAACTTTCTGTGTCATGGACCTCTGGCAATCTGGTGAAGCCTATAGGCCTTTTCTCAGAATAATGTTTTAAAATACCTAAAATAAAATATATAGGATTACAAAGGAAACTAATTGTACTGAAACTATATATACCATACTTAAAAAACAAGTACACAGAGCACAGATTAAGAACCCTTTCTACAAGGGACAGAGGTAGAAGATAGGGTTTGGACCTGTGATTTCACTGTTACAGAAAATTCCCGAATAAGGAAATTCCCTCCATCAGTGCAGGTCAGCCCCTTCTTTATAAGTTACAGTCTTAAAGAGAGGTTAAATTAATTGCCTGGGGTCACACAGATAATATATGTCAGATATGGGGCTTGATCCAAGATCTTTCTGGCCAGCTCTCTATCCACTATGCCCTACTGCCTCTCCAGTAACTACGCCCATATTAAACCATAATCTTTACTAATAGGTACCCTATTATTACTTGAGGGTACTCTTTTCCTTAACAAACTGCAGTTTGCTACCAGACATATTAAACATCTACTAACATATTTTACAAAATACCATTTGGTATTCAGTTATACTTTTCTAAGTTTTTTTTTATTTAATCACTAATTATACTAGTTCTATCTTCATTGGAAGAATTTTCAAATACAGGTTGACAGACGAAGAGCACTTACAGTGACGATGAATGTAAACACCACAAAGACAAATCGGAACCAAATTTCCAATTGTGAAAAAGATGGATTGTAAGTCCTCCACTGTAAAGGGGAAAAAAAGAGAAATTTTAACTGCTGTAGCTGAAAATAATTAAAGAATGGTATTTCATAGGATGACAGATCTAGAACATGAAAAGCTTTTATGGTCATCTGGACCAATTCCCTTATTTTACAGATGAGGAAACTGAGGCCCAGAAGGTCTAAGCAATTTGTCTAAGATTGCCAAGCTTTAAGAGGCAGTGCTGGTAGGAAAACCAGGTCCTCTGACTCCAAATTCAGCATTCTTTCCACTGCAAATCTTTGGCAAATCAACTCTCATGTGGATGTGGCATTATTTAAATTTCTATATACTAAGAGCATTTGTACATTAAGCATTTCACCAGAAAATGAACTCTGCCTGCCCTTTCAGAAGACAAATAACTTCCTTCATTAACCAGTAAGCATTGGCCAAAAATCTCAGCATCCGGCCACTTGGCATAATAGAACAGGACTTCCTGACATGGCTGCCCCCATTTAGTAGCAGTGTCACAAAAACCTATGGAGAGAACAGAGGTACTCTGCTACGGCAGAGATGCTAATGCAAATAGAGACCTTGCTGAAAATGAAAATACTGGCTCGATGCTATATGGACCTTTTTTAGAAATAGGATATTACTGCATGACACTCTGGCACCAGTGCAAAAGGCAGGACTGCAGCTAATCCTCTGTTTGATCACCAAATTTCTTTTCTTTCTTTTTTTTGGGGGGGTAGGGTGGGATGGTGGAGCCTCTCCTGGGTCCATTCCTGGCTTTCAGATTTCATAACCAGGCTCTCTCTCGTGCTGGACACATTGGATACCTTCATTTTCATCTCAGGCCCTTGACACCCCTCTCCCCATATACATACCTCCCCTTTTCAGCTCCATTTGGTATGTAGTCTTGTCTCTCTTTTTGTTTGTATTCATATCCTCCGCACTTAGTATGGTGGTTGGCACACAATAAGTGCTTAATAAATCTTTGTTTCCTTCCTCCTAAATTTATAATCCTACCCTTCCTTCTTACACTAAACTTCCATTCCAGGACCTAGAATTTCACTGATATAGGGAACTCTCAGTGAATATATGTTAATATTCAAAGTGTCATTTAATGTGCAACTTATAGTCTGTTTACAGAGTAGGCTGGAGCACTAAAAGGTTAAGTGACCTGCCAGGTCGCAGCCTGCGTGCCAGAGGTGAATTAATTCCCATGCCTTCTTCACTGTGAGGCCAGCACTCCAGCTCCGGTGCCAAACTGCCTCCAGTAATCACCCAATGTCTCCCCCAACCACAGAGGTCAACACCACCCATACAGTTGTAATGAGTTAATACCAAATGCATCTGAGCTATACAAACCCAAGTGCAATAGCTATCTTCTTCCTTTTTTTTTTTTTAAGGCAATTGGGGTTAAGTGACTTGCCCAGGGTCATATAGCTAGTAAGTGTCAAGTGTTTGGTCTGAGGCCTGATTTGAACTCAGGTCCTCCTGACTTCAGGGCTGGTGCTCTATCCACTGCACCACCTAGCTGCCCCTGCGCAGTAGCTATCTTACTACAGTCATACCTTGGAGGATATCACCAATACTTAGTAAATGGGAGAAGTGTCACCATTAACTACCATGGATTTTCTGTAAAGGTGCTTAGCATCACATTTCTTACATTTAAGAAATGAGAATCAAAATTTCCTATCAAAAAAAAATGGGAAAAGTCAAGTCAGAAGCTTCCTGTCTCAGGAGCAGGCAACCATGCAAGGGTAACATGTTCTGCTTTTATTTTACATACTCGACTTTAAGAGTAACAGTGTTGAAGCTAATTTCTCTCCAACTGCTCACTTAATGGAGAGATATAGAAAAGAAAAGGGATGGTGAAGGGGAAGGAGAAGGCAGGCAGGAGAAAAAAGTCAGCGAGCAGTGCTGTTGGTACTTGTTCTGGAGAACTGCACTTATTACACATTTTAAAAAATACCATGAATTCTTGGGTTTGTCATCTTTTTTTCCCTTTACCCCGAATTTTAAGAATGTTTTCCTCCATCTAACTTTCCACCAATAAGCAGCTTCCTTTGTAATGGGAACTAGTAGTCAGTCTGAACTGGTTCCTTTGGGTACACAAGCACAACGCCTCAGCTGACTGTTCATTTGTGTCTGGAACCTGGGGAGGATGCAAAATAAAAGGGTAAGAACAGCTAGTTATCTGTGCTCACTTGGGCTCTGGACACCAGAATACAGCATCGCAACTCCATGGAATACAAATTAGGTCCTCACTTGTCGGCCTGAACTCAGAGGATATTAGAAATGGAAGGGACTTATTTTACAGATCGACAAAGAAAGGCTCAAAGAGGTTAAATAATTCGCCTAGAATCATACAACTCATTAATGTTAGAGTCAGGATCAGAACTTAGAAATAGTCCTTTCTGTTGCAGAAATAGATTTTCTCCTTTTACTTTTGAACTTCAAAGATTATCTTGGATGAATGTTTTGAAATGAATAGAAATGAAAAGAATATTTTCCCATGGAATATTTAGATTTCAGAAAATTTAGTGTTTAAACCCTGAGAGGTGTCAGTCAATTTGCTAGCTCCAGCTTCAAAGTCCTTTTGCTATTTAAAAACTACAGGAAACTCTTCACTTTACTCTTTGAGGGAAGAGAACCAGCTCATTTCATTGTGCCTGAAGATCCCTTGAAATCAGTATTTTACTTCATATTTTGAGTCATCCTGTATCACTACAATCCCCAACACAATCTTCTTGGTCTAATTGTATCCTTTTGGAGTAAAGGAATCCCGAAGCAGGCTGAGTGGAAAACACCTCACAGAATAAATAGGCTAATTGCTAGGCACCGCTCTTCCAATGCTTTTATCTAACTTTCAGAGATTCTGCCCTGCATAGGAAAGCCACAGAGGCCACCAGGGGAGTCAATTATGCTTTCCTCTAGAGCTGCTGCCAACATGAGCTCAGAGTTACTTGCAGATCAAATTCCTAATTTCTTCACTCAGAGATTTCAACAGGGAAACACCACAGTTTAAAGGAAGTAAAAAGATCTCAAAGGAACATCTAGGTAAAAAAACACAATACATTATTCCTGAACTCTATAACCAAGCCTTTTCTGGAACTTTCCATAACCTGGAGCCTACCTCAGGAGCCCTTTCACCTTAGAAGGTCATTCTGTAAGGCCCTCCCACACTTCTCCCACCTGTGAATGCCTCCATTTTGTGGAGGAACCCAAGCTGTCCTTCATTCCCCCGTCCTGGGTCCATTCCTAGCTTTCAGATTTCAAAACCAGGCTCTCTCTCATGCTGGACACACTGGACACCTTCATTTTCATCCCAGGCCCTTGACACCCTTCCCCCCATATATATACCTCCCCTTTTCAGCCCCATTTGGTATGTAGTCTTGTCTCTCTTTTTCTTTGTATTCATATCTCCAGCACTTAGTATGGCACACAGTAAGTGCTTAATAAATCTTTGTTTCCTTCCTCCTAAATTTATAATCCTACCCTTCCTTCTTACACTAAACTTCCAGTCCAGGAACCAAAGCTTCCATTGCCAATGCTGCCTTCTCAAAGTCCTAGTTGCTGTGGTGTTTTATACAGGACCTGAGAATTTATAGTTAGGCTGGAAAATACCCTTACCTCCCTGATGTTTTTGGCTGACTGGAATCAATCCAGCTCAGACACTGTTAACAGTTCAATTCTACAAAAGGCCCCACAGGAAAGTGGAGCTCAGTGGGGATATGTGCTACACGGGCGTACTTACTGTGAAGTTCACGTCTTTGATGGGGATCTTCAGAGCTTTCACGTCCTCAAATCCCACGATGACAGTATACTGAGTGTAATTCAAATACCCAAGGTGAGCCACAATGATTTCAGCACATTTCTGCAAATAAAAGAAGTCCTGGCTAATTCAAGTTGCCGTCCCCAAGATCTACTTTATAGGCAAGGGGACTCGTGAAGAGTCAAATTTCAAAGAGAAGGTAGAGGATCAGAACTGAATTGGCAGGAAGAACAGCAAAGAAGAAACACAGTGACTGACATTCAGCTCCAAGAGAGGCAGCAAGGTAGTGAAGTGTATACAGCACTGCGCTTGGAGTCAGGAAGATGTAAGTTCAAATCCAGTTTCAGATACTTACTAGTTGTGTGACCTTGGGCAAGTCAAGCAACCTTGGTTTGCCTCAGTTTCTTCAACAGCAAAATGGTGATACCACCACCCCCTACCTCACAGAGTTGTCATAAGGATCAAATGAGATAATGTTTGTAAAGTGCTTAGCACAGTATGTGCTATTTAAATGCTTGTTCCTTTCTACCTTCCTTCCCCCCCCCCCCCCCCCCCCCCTTCTACATGACTGTTACATCTCCTTAAGTCTAAATTTTGGAAGAAAGGACAACAGTGGCTTTTTAAAAAGTGTAAATGACAGCATTTATGGCTCAGACTCTAAAAATTAGAAATAATAGAACAGTCACATTTAAAAATCATCAGGGGAATGTTTCAAGCAGAGACTAGGTGAACAGTTGTCAGAGATACTGTTGAAGGGATTCATGTATCAAGAAGGGGTGAGACTAGACGGTCTCTCCTGATACCAGGATTCACATAAATCGGAAGTTGGGGAGTTTTTTGGTAGAGACTCCCGGTGAGGAAACTCCCTCTACCAACACAAACCAGTAACCATTCTGGAACTGAAAGTCTTAGAGAAGTGCTTAGAGTACTGAGAGGTTAAGAAACTCTGATCCAACGTGCACCAGAATCTCGTCGTGAACCGTTAGCCTTCCAGCCTTCTTAAACCCAAAATCCACTCTCTACCCACTATCCCATGCCGCCTCTACACACTGCATAAATACATTAATGCAGTAGGATGCAGAAGGACTGAAAGTCTAACAGGTAAACAATCAACAAACTACCACAATTAATTAATTAGCCCCAGCTTGACCTTTTCACCTAAATGTACTCTGGCGATTATAAAAGGAGTTAGTTCCAAGCTTGCTGATTTTGTCTCCCTTATTAGAATGCAACATCTTGAGTTCCCCGAGCTATACCATCCTATATCTTGACCTGCATTAGATTGTCTAGTCTACACCAAAAACAAAAGCCACATGAGAATAACCAGGGCCTATTTACCAAGTGTGTTGGGTTTTTTATTATGTTAAATTAAGAATAAGAGTTCTTAACCTTAGCCCCAGTATGTCTGTAGGTTTGTATCTATCCCACAGCTCAGCAGGGCCGAGATTTAAAGCCAATAAGAAAGATGGAGCACTTCGCCAAGGATACTCACATCTGTAGTCAAAAAAAAAGGGAAAAAAGGACAAGCTGTGAATTGTTATTGTTTAAGTCATTTCAGTCATGTCTGACTCTTCATGACCCCATTTGAGGTTTTCTTGGCAAAGGTACTAGACTGGTTTGCCATTTCCTTCTCCAGATCATTTTACAGATGAGGAAACTGAGGCAAAGAGGGTTAAGTGACTTTCCAGGGGTCACAAAACTAGGGAACATGGTATCTCTGAACTTGTTCGAGGAAAGGATACCCAGGAGGAAAGGGTAGGCAATGGTGTGAAAAGTTCCAGAGAGATCAAGAAGAACTAGCACAGCTGGTCTGGTGACATGGAGATCATGAAATACAGTCTAAGTACTTTCAAAAAACAGAGAGGCCCAATAATGACTGGTTCCTCATGAAGGAACTCAGGCTGAGGGTGAAGAGCAGACTGGGCTGCAAACAGAGTAGATAGAGGACCAGCTTCGACAGCCTCTTTCAATGAGGCTTTGGATACTGTTACTGAATCTTCAAGAGAGGAAATAGCATCCTGGAGGGAGACAATTTAACTGTCATTCGGTGACAGTGAACTGCCACAGCTGGAAAGAGAGTGTGTAAGGCACAGAGGGAAGGAACTAAGAAAACCTCTTTTGTGAGGGACTGCCACCTAAGACTGAAACCCCTTTTGAGGGAACAGAGTTCGGTTCCTCCTCTGGAGAAGACAAGCTGGGGAAAATCTATCTAGAAAATTTGGAAGATTACCTGTCATCCTGAGAGAATTCAATGGTGGGCCATGGCACCAGTGTCCGGGAAGGAATCCATAGCTGAATTTAATGGTTAGAAGTAGGCTGTGATCTTTCTTATAGCTAATATATCGTTGAAATATTTAAATACGTCTTTGTGTTGTTACACTACTAGTAAATTGTATAGCCAGTAACTGTGATATTTGCTTAAGTCTGTAACAGACTAAGGGGGTTAAGACGGATACTTAAAGAGAAGAAAAAGTTTATGGGAAAAGGAGTTTTACTAGTAAAAAAAAAAGCAGGGTAGGGATTCAGAGCTAATTCACTGAAAGAAAGTTGCAATGCTGGTTTTTCAGCGTGTCAGCTATCCTTCCCAACTTCACCTTGCAAATTTATAGGAAAGCTATCTCTATCTTCACACAAGTCATTGATAAAAACTTCCGGGATAGTACAGTATGCCTTCCTACTTATGTCTCAAGCCAGTTAACTCTGTTGATTAGAACAGATCAGAATATGAAGCTTTTAAGTGTGGGAAAGTATGTCCTCAGCCCTTGGGAAACAAAGACAAAGACAAAACATTCCCCCAAGAAACTTAAATAGAAGGGCTTCTTAACCTGGGTCCTATGACTTTCACTTTTTTAAAAAACATGTAGGCAGGAGATGGAACACCATATACAAGGAACAAATGAAATTAAGGATTCAATTCCCATTTAGGATCATTAGCACATACCCCTGCACAGCTGAGGGTCCTCGTCCGATTGTGAACTTTGTTATGTACAAATGTCTTGCTTGCACCTTGGGTCACACCATCTACTTTCACAGTCATAGAAAAGCTTGTCTGGATTGTAGTGTCTACAAAAAGGAAAATGAAACAGAAGGGAAAAAGGAGTGCCGTCAATAAGCTGTCAGGCCCCACCACAGACATCAATCTTGCTAGCTGACTCAGTTATGGTCACCAGCATGATAAATTGCAAAGGGCCCCAGTGATCTCAAGGTGGTGCTATTGAGTGTGTCTCAAATGGCATTTGAAAGATACACTCCCATCCCCACAGCTATCAACTACAATACACTCAAAAGCAAATTATTTCACGAACAGTGAAATTAGATTTTGCCCCTCCATGTAATGTTTTCCCACATAAGAAGGCCATTTTAAGTCTCTGTAGCACTAGAGCATGATGCTTTACAGAAAGAAAACCTGTCCCCCAATCAGTCCTCTTACCATCTGACTGATCCAGCTGAATAACACACGTCAGCCATAACTGCTGATTATAAGTAGAAAGTGGTCCTGAATTGAGAAGAAATGGCTTTAGCTGAGGAAAAAGGAGGGGAAAAAAAAGAGCTAAGAGTCAGTTACACAGCATCATTTCCTGATCCTACTGAACAAATCACCCTGGCATAAAGGATTTACATTTTACATTTCACAATGTAGACTCCAGTTATTGTTCTGAAAATAGAAATACACATACGCTTCCCTTTGATGGTATAAATTAAATTATGTACCAGTGACAAGGCTGGGGGCCTGACAACCTGCTCCGATCATTTTATTCCCTTATTAGATCCTGAGCAGAGTTTTCATAGCCTGGAGCTATGGGGAATAAAGGGGAGAGTCTGACTTTTAATGCAAAGAAAATGCAAAGTGTGAAGGAAACAAAAAAAGGAGAAAAAAATAGCAAAATGATGAAATACACAAAATAAAAACATACAACAAGGAAATGTTTTTAATAGTTGCAATTCAGTTTGTATCCAGAATCATTAACTCCGTACACTGTGCTAAACCCATCTCTGATGATGTCTGGTTTTTTGTTTGCTCAGTGAAAGTCTGGTCTTCTCACCTAAGTTTACAAGGATTCACTCACAGGGTCAGGGTCATGGAGAGAGGCAGTCAGGAAATTGGAATTCAAGTCCGAGCTCCAACAAATAAGACAAGTTCAAATCCCAGCTCCGCTACTTATCACTTTATTTTGTTATTACGTATTTATTAACTGTATGACCCTGGGCAAATTATTTAACCCGTCCAGACGTCAGTTTCTTTATCTGTAACATGAGACAGTTGGACTGAATGGCCTCTAATATCCCTTCCAGTTTTCTGTCTATATCCTATATTACTAGTTGAGTTAACCCTATGAGAATATCTTAACCTCTCTATGCCTCAGTTTTCTCATCTGTAAAATGGGGTAGTAACAGCACTTGTGTTACCTATTGCAAAGGAAAGCATTCTGAAAAGCTTAGGGAAATACTTCTGCTATAACGCTTGTTGTGAAAATGTCAATTTGTTCCAACATGATAGTTATATTAGGGAACAATTTGAGCATAATGGGAATTTCATATTCACTTGTTCTGTATTTCGTAAGAAACAGCGTGTACCACTTCACAGTAACTCACAAGCTGCAACTCTTGTGATGCCCCAGCCCTGGTCTGGGAATCTCCAGCAGTAGTCTGAAGTAGTGGGCACCACCACTATCTAATGGAACATGAATGTATTTCTTTTTTTCCCCCACTTAACAGTATTTTATTTTTTCCAATTACATGTAAAGATAGTTTTCAACATTCACTTTTATAAGACTGTGAGTTCCAAATCTTTTCTCCCTTCTTGCTCTCCTGAAGACCGAAAGCAATCTGATATAGGTTATACATGTACAATCATATTAAGCATAGTTCCACATTAGTTATGTTGTGAAAGAAGAATCAGAAAAAAAGGGAAAAACCACAAGAAAAAAAGGGAAAAACCACGAGAAAAAAAAGTGAAAATAATATGCTTTAATCTGCATTCAGACTCCATAGTTCTTTCTCTGGATGTGGATAGCATTTTCTATCATGAGGCTTTTGGAGTTGTCTTGGATTACTGTATTGCTGAGAAGAGCTAAGTCTATCACAGTTGATCATCATATAATGTTCTCCTGGTTCTGCTCATTTTACTTTGCATATAAGTCTTTCCAGGTTTTTCTGAAATCTGCCTGCTCATCATTTCTTAGAGCACAATAGTATTCCATTACATTCATATTTCACCATATATTCAGCCATTCCCCAACTGATGGGCGTTCCCTCAATTACCAATTCTTTGCCACCACAAAAAGAGGTGCTATAAATATTTTTGTACATGTGGGTCTATGAATGTATTTTTTTTTTGATGAGGCAATTGGAGTTAAATGACTTGCCCAGGGTCACACAGCTAGTAAGTTTCAAGAGTTTGGGGCTGGATTTGAACTCAGGTCTTCCTGACTCCAAGGCCAGCCAGAGCTCTATCTACTGCGCCACCTAGCTGCCCCTATGAATGTATTTCTTAACCATTTATTTAACACATATAAAACTGGACTACATTTTTATTAGGTTCCTACTTTTTTCTACGTGTCACTGACAAAGTTTTTGAGTGCTGTGCTCCTAACCCCATCTTCCCCATAAAACCTACAGTTTTTATTTTAAGATTTTGCATAGCACAGTTATTTTTGGGAATTCATGCCACTTCACAGTAGAACTGACTGTATAACAAATATGAGTTACTATTATCACCAAGGATACTGAGTTTTCAAAAGCCACTGTACTAGAACCAGTAATTGAAAATTTGATGAACCTCACCCAGTTTTAAAGAAAAGGTTTTGTGGGGTTTTTTTTATAAGAATTTTTTTGAGGTACAGAGATACACTGAGTCCAGTCACAACTTGGCTATCTGGAATCTCTCTGTGATTTGGTTCTTACCTAGAAGCTTCTGTTTTAGAGGCAATTCCCTCTAGGAGGACATCTGCCTAGGTATCATTCCATCTTTTCCTATGTCTTACATACTCTAACTCTGTTCTTTATCTTCATTATCACTCTAATCTCTCCACCTCTCAGTTCTTTCCAAGATAGCATCCCTACACTGGACATTTGTGGAGAAATAAAAATAAAACGACATTTTAAAAAGGTGGCTATTTAAACAGCTGTTCCTAAAAAGTAGGTTGGTTCACAGACAAGTTGCAGGATCCACATATACATACATCACGGTTGTACCCTTTGTTAGGTATCTTTCCTTCTTGATTCAATAAAGTACAGGGAAGAAAATCTTGTCCCCTTTTCCCATTACTCATGACTTCTACAACACATCACAAATAGCACTGCATCTAAGGTAAGTAAGGAGTTGGAGTCAAATGATCAAATTTAAACTACAGATGTTATGCAATTGTAGGAATTGCCGTGGCTTCAATGTAGAGATCGATACATATGACACAGAAAAAGTTTTAATTTGTACAGAATTTATTCAATAATATCATATATTTATTCAATAATATCAGATAATGACTCACATTTAAATGGTGCTTTCAGTTTAACACTCAATCTTCACAACAGCCCTATGAGGTAGATGGTATGAAGTACAACTCCCTCCATTTTACAGATGAGAAAACTGACAGGGTGATTAAGTGACCTGCCTAGGGGCACACATTCAGTGTCAGAGACAGAGTGAGGACAAAAAAGTAGATCAGAATTAGAATCCAAAATTCTTTCCGTGAACTTTCTATGAACAAAGAACTGCCCATTTAGAAACTAGAACACGGTTCCAACACCTGAGTCACCCATAGGTAAAGGTCATAAGGAATCAAGTACTACACTGTATAAACTGGCAGTTCCTCTAGAACTCGAGCCTTTCTTGAGCCAGGGCATGCTCTCTACTATGAGCTGGATGGACTCAATGAAATACAAAAGATAATTTTACCAAAGAATAACCTAAGGTCCCCAAAGGGACAAGAAGCCTGCACTATACTGAAAATCAAGCTGCAGATTCAGAGCTGCCCTGCCTTCAGCATGCCCCAGGCTGGCACATTACTCACTAACATGGCAGTTTACAGTTCCCCACTGATCGTCATTCAGACAGTCTTACCTTTAAGCTACTGCTGTTCACTTGGTGGTCCTCTGAAGTCGACTGGATTGCTTGGGGACCTAAATTTTATCAGAATAGGAAGAAAAGCAAGTTGTTGAAAAAGGATTTGATTAATCAATTCCAAGGCAAACTTTTGATGACAGGGGGCAAGAGGTAGTCTTCTCCCTCTGGGCTGACTCACTTCAAAACCAGACTCATTTGAATACATTATTTAACGTGGGAAACCACAGCCAGAAAGGGGAAAAACATATATGGGGCAACAGTGGTGCACAAAGTCCATCCTACTAGGCTTCTGGCCCGCCCCAAAGAGCCAAGTGAAGTATATGTCTATCCATTTAATAAACATACTATGATATATGACATAATGTTTTACGTTAACTTTGATGGATTTTTGCTTTGGGGCAGGAAAACATCATTTCCTTTTCCTTTGATAAGATTTCTCAAGGAGCTGAACACAATATGTGTCAGATCCATAGGACACCCAGATTTCATGCTGTGAGAAAGCAGACAGCAGTAAAATAAAAGGATTCAATGAATATTTATTGGTGCCTACAATGTGCACAGCATTGTACTATATTATGTGCAAGATACAAAGAAAAATATAGAAAGGATTGAAGACAGGAGTTAATGTTAATGAGACTCTAGGAATAGTTATGGGTCAACCCCAGGTCACTAGTTAGCCAAGGTACCAACCAGCATCTGGCCTGCCAGTGACAGTCTTGTACCATCGCCAACTTGATGCTGACCTGTAGCTCAAAAAACACAAAAAAGGTCTTGGCCAAGCAGTCTAAGAATGCAAAATGTCTACTGCTACAACAGAAACACCAAAGTGACATTAATGAATTCTTACTCTATTGTTTACTGCCTCTCTCCTAAGTGGAATTAGGAGCTGGGTGGGGAGGTCTGTCTTCTAGCTATGGCCCAGGCATTTTAAAATAAGGCTAACAACCCATCTAACAACCTAGTGTGTTCATAAGCCTGAATATATAGTTTCTAGCCTTAAGGAGTTTATAAATAAGGAATCAAGGTTTTTCTTGAGAGAATAGATTAAATGTACTAATAATTTAACACTCACAGGTAGCTACTATACAAATTAAAGCAGAACCAGGACAGTGGAGGGAATATAGGGGTTTGGAGAGCCTGGCTTTTTTTATGTTAAATTAGTCTTGGTACATCAATCTGTCAATTTGTGCCAGTCTTTTTCCAAACAGAAAATGAAAACTACAGAACTTGCCACCTCCATACAACAATGTGTCTGGATAGTCCAGAGGTGATACATATCCAAAGCACCATGATATACAGGCAGTCTCCAACATAAAAATAGGTTATATGCACCAAAAGTTCTTTATAAGCCACTTGCATTGCTCTCAAAATAAATTTTCCCATGGAAAGACGGTTATAAAAGGTATTACTGCTGAACAATAACAATATTTCAACTATTCACCATAGGACTGTTCGGGGACTCAAATGAAATATTGCATGTAAACTGCCTTACAAACTGTTATCCTAACTCCAATAATGCAGATCACAATCCAAATACACCTGCCCATTCTGGCTAGTCTTGGCCCTTTCTCCCACAAATCTGCCACAGCTTCCCCACCATTCCTACTTCATGTGCTGGGAGCTCTACTCTAGACTTCTTGATATCATGGGAATAGCAGTGGAGCAGAGACTGTCCATTGATTATCTCTCGCTAGCGAGATGATAAGGCCACGCTTTTTCCCCAGTCACACATTTTTGTGCTGCCATCTTTTACACTACTTCTGCTGTTCAATTCCTTGTTTGCTATGTATGGCAGCCAGCTCACTCCAACTCTATACCTTTTCATTGCCCTTTGGGTACTGAGTACTATTCTTAGAGCCTGTGTCATTCCATGACTTGCTTATACTACCACTAGAAGAATGTTGGTGTTAAAAAAAAAAAAAAGGACCTTTTTTTAAGGGATTATTAAAGATTTATTAAAAGGATTGCCTACTTTCCAAGCACAATTCAGTTCTCTTTCCTATTCAATTCTGGGCCCAGTTCATTATCCATTTGCAAAACTGTCCAAAATACAATGGATGAGTGCTGTAGGTTGTCCATTTAACTGCATTATTATATTATAAACAAAACACATTCATCACCTACTTGGTTTTTCTCGTGTGAATGGTTAGGTTAAACTTTTTGGTACTTATGGATCTCACTCAGGATGTGCTATAGTATTCCGGGCTTGATGCAATCAATACAATGTCATCAACAAACAGAAAGATCTAGAGGGCAATGAGGTGGCGCAGTGGATAGAGCACCGGCCCTGGATTCAGGAGGACCTGAGTTCAAATCCGGCCTCAGACATATAACACTTACTAGCTGTCTGACCCTGGGCAAGTCACTTAACCCCACTGCCTAGACCAAAAAACCAAACAACAACAAAACAGAAAGATCTGGAAGACTTATATATCTGCTATTTCTAATTCTGCTTTTTTCCCCTTCATGTGGACTCTACAGTTTTCATGATAGTGACAAAAACCTTTGATGACCAAACATCTTCCTGTTTTACGCTTGCTTGATATTAATCATTTGAGGATCAAAGTTATCTCCATAGTTACATCTTGCAAAGAACCTTCCACGATTTTAACATTTGCATGGGTGAGACCTTGTCAGGGGGCCCTTCAAGAAGGCATTTTGATCTACTGAATCAAATGCTTTTTTTTTAAATAGTCATAAACACTCTAAGATCTCGTATTATCCAGTCACTTTTCAGTCATTGGACTTTTAAGATGTTTTCTGCTACAGAATATCATTTGCAAATACCTTCCTGTTTCTTTTTCATACCTTCATCAAGAAAGTACCCAATAAATATGCACATTATTTTCATAAAATTTTGTAGGAATAGAAAAGTAGGCATACAGATTGATAACTGCAGATATTTCCTCAACAAACTGTCTTCTTTCAGCTTCCATGAGACTCAATCCTTCAATGTTTTCAAAACAGTGTCATCCTGAGCTGGGACCTTTTCTGCCTATACCTGGTTTTATTCAGCTGCCTTTGATATCTTTATTTTCTTTGGTGTCATTTCTACTTCTTCATGCAGTAAACGTGAGACTTTGAAGTGGAGTCCAAATGTGGTGGCTTCACTGTCTTTGGTAGTGAAAAGAATCTGTTATAAAATTCGTTAGAGATTACTTACATTTTTTGACATTCTTTAAATGTGTTTGGGATGACTTACAGTAGTTTAACTAGTTATCTCACCAAGCTTTGGTTTTACCTCCACTGCTCCTCATTATATAATGAAGCCAATTTAAAGTGCTATATAAATATCAGCTATTATTATTTTCATCACCACCACCGTCATCAGTTAAATAAACTCTTGTGGCTTTGGCTCTTTTACATGCTCTAAGTCCTAGACAAACCAGCCAATTTGTTATTTCTTTATGTAATATTTCATCTCTTGTGTCTGTGCCTTAACATAACCTGTCACCCAGTTCTGAGATGATTCCTTCCCTGCCTCCACTTCACAGAATCTCTAACTTCCTAGGAGGCTTAAGTTCAAGAGATATCTCCTACAAAAGGTCTATTCTGATACCTTTAAGTTGCTAGAGCACCTCCCTTCCCAAAATTATGCTTGCTTAGCTGTGTGTCTATTGTTCCCCTCCATCAGAATGTAGGTTCCAGGAGAGCAAGGATTGCTTTGTTTTGTCTTTGTATCCCCAGTAGCTAGCATGGTACCTGACATATAGCAGATGACTAATAAGTGCATGTTAAAGTAAGGAATGCCTGGGAACCTAACACTTATGAATATTACCTTTTCTATAGTAAGGTGTGTTCTGTGTGATGGAAAGGAAGCACCCTAAACATTTTTCTTCATTCCAACCACAGCTATTAAGGAAAAATGGCCTCTAGTTAGTAAATAGGGAGATGGAAACAGTGGTTCAAGTAATACTTTTTATTTTTTCAAGTAACACTTCTTATTCCCAGAAGAATCCCACTCCTGTGTGCATGTGTGTGTGTGTGTATTTGAAAGCCACAGAAATACATTACAGGAGAGACTTCAAAAGATTATCTGGGCCAGTCTTCACCCTCACCAGAATCTCAGTGTAAGAAGGAGCCTTCGCAGTCCAATTCTTACCTGAAGCATGAATTCCCTATAAAATATCCCTGCTAGGTGGTCATCTAGCCTCCGTCTATAATCCAGTAACAGAAAACTCATCAAGCTGTAAGACAGCAGCAATCCCACTGTTAGACAGCAAAGTATCTGGAGGCAGCACAGTGCAGTGGTTACTGCACTGAACCCGGTGTCAGCTAGACCTGGTTTCAAATCCTGTGTCAAACACGCCAGCCCTGTGACCCTGGGCAAGTCACTCATATTCTCTGTGCTTCAGTTTCTTCTCATGGAAACCAAGGCAGGCAGAATCGATGTCCTTTAAGGTTTCTTCCAGCTTTACATCTATTCCTCCTTAAAAGGTCTTCCTTACATTCAGCCAAAATTTGACTCCCTATAGATTCATCCCAGTGACCCTATACTACCTCCTAGAGTCAAACAAACCTAATCTCTCTTCAATATGGCAGTACAGGTTTTCTAATTAGTCAGTCCTTCAACCAATTCTCATATGAGAATTTCAAAGTGTCTTGCCTTCCTGGCTGCTTTCTTTTGTTTGGGGTTCTCTTTTTCCCCCTATTCTATTTCTAAAAAGCACTCAGCAATATTCCCCCATTATCTAGCCAATCTATGTATATTCTTAACAGTGCAACCCAAGCGCTTGGTCTATGTGAGCATTCATGGGAATGTGGGCAAGTCACTTCACCTCTCTCTGAGCCTCAGTATTTTCATCTGTAAAATGGGAAAAGTTTAGAGGGTGGGGGGAGGGAAAGTAAAAACCTATGAGTTGAGTGGTGCAAGGGTTATTATCTCCATTGTACAGATCAAGAAACTGATGGTCAGAGAAGTTAAGTGATTTTTCCATGGTTAGTGAGTGTTAAATTCAGGACTCAGAATTCCCAAACTAGTAGCCTTTTCACTATACTTACTGAATACTCTATGACAGTGTTTCCAAACTGTTATGTAAATAAAAACTCCCTTGTA